TGTGTGTGTGTGTAAATAAATAAAGGTATGGAGACAGAATGCATGATGCGCTCCTTTCCTAATCTTGAACCATGCAGGGTTTCCTTGCTGTGTTCTGAGGACTGCTTCCTGGTCCTAGTATAGGTTTCACATGAGCACAATCAGGTATTCTGGGATTCCCATTCTTCTCAAGGTTGCCCACAATTGGTCATGATCCACACAGTCAAATGCCTTGTATAGTTGATGAAACATAGATAGACATTCCTCTGTTACTCTTTGCTTTCTACCAAGATCCATCTGACATTGGCAGTAATGTGTCTAGTGCCACGACCTCTTCTAAACTCAGCTTATATTTCTGATAGTTCTCTGTTAATGTAATGTTCCAATTGTTTTTGGATGATCTTCAGCAGGATTTTGCTTGTGTGTGATATTAGTGATATTGTTAGGTAATTTCCACACTCTGTCGGGTTACCTTTTCTTGGAATGGGAATAAATATAGATTTCTTCTAGTCAGTTGACCAAGTAGTTGTCCTCCAGATTTCTTGGCATAACCTAGTGAGCACATCCAGGGAATTAACTCTTCAAATATGTCAACTGGTATTCCTGGGGCCTTGTTTTTTGCTAATTCTTTAAGAGCAGCCTGAACTTCCTCCATCATCACCATTGCCTCTTGATCATATGTTGTTTCTTTAAATTCTTCTGTATCAGCCAGTTCATTTTGGTATAGTGCCTCTGTGTAAACCTTCCATCTTCTTTTAATGCTTCCTGGATCATTCAGTATTCTTAGCCAAATATGCTCAGGTCCCTTTCTCTGTGTGTATGTGTTTATGCATGTATCTCTGTCTCTATGTGTGTGTCTCTAGATGTCTTTCTCTCTGGGTATGTCTCTCTTTCTCTGTCTGTAGATCAGAATCCCCATTGTAGCCGCCTTGCTGTGTGACCCAAAAACCCCATCTTACTACCTTAGGCCAGTCTACTTGTTCTTATGCCATTTCTTTGCCTTTGGACTAACTATGTTTCCTAGTACTCCTTACCATCTTTTACTATCCAGTGTTAAACTCTTTAACTCCATGGTTTCAGAGGTTCTCAGCACAGGGATCCTGTATCCAACGATACGCTCCACTCTCAGTCTTTCTGCTTGACAGTAATGAGCATCTCCCCACTTCCACCTGCACTAACCTCTGAGATTTGGCTCTTTAAGTCTAGTGGAATAGTAGAGTTGAACAGAACCCTGGGGGATGGGACATAGACACTGTTTGCATGTGATTGTTGTGGGGGTTTTTAGAGGCAATAAATCTCTTGGCGAAAGATTACCCACCCTTCTCTCACAGAGCAGTTAGTGGATTTAAACTGAGTACCTTTGGGTTTGCAACACTGCTTCTTACCACTAGGCCCCCAGAGCTCCTACTCAGTCATTTTGTGGGAGTTACAAGACGATGGCAGGATTTGCCATATTAAAGTAGTTTACACAGGCACTGTGCTGACCATTTCATATGCATGATTTCACTTAGTCTACATAGCATCAGTATTTGATTGTTACTATTATTGAAGGCACTGATGCTAAAGAAGGTTAAGTACCTTTCTTGAGATCTGATGGAGCTCTGGTGATGTAGTCTTTAAGGAGTTGTGCTGCTAATCCAAAGGCTGAGCCTCTGACAGTTGGCATCTACCAGCAGCTGCAAGGGAGAAAGATGAGAAATCTCCTCTCAGAAAATCCGTTAGAGGTTCTGCTACGTGTTGTTTCCAACACAATAATGGTGAGTTTGAAGTTTCATAGTTTATAGGTGACAGAAGTGGAATTTCAGAGACACTTTTTCTGAGTCGGAACTTGGGCTTTACCTCTGCACTGTACTGTTTAATGCCTTCTAGGTGCTCAGTAATTGTGAGCTTATTAATTGAGAGCCTTCTGCTTTTACCTCTCCATTCCCAGAATTTGTTTTTCTCTTTATCCAATTTTTCCTGATTGGCTAAGAAGAAAGGTTTCTTTAGTCTTTAGCCATCCCATATCTGCTCTTCACCCTCTTTTCCGACACCAGACATCTTTCATAGTTATTTTATTTTCAAGGATTTTTGTGTCTTTCCTATGTGAACTTCTTGATTTGAGGGGGAAAAAAATCTTTATTTCCTTTCAACATCACACTTTTAAAAAAAATTTCTATTGGTTTGCTTACAAAGTTCATTTACATTGTGTGTTTCATACAATATTTCCCATGCATTATGTTTTATAAAATTGTCACTGGACTATGTCTGTCATTACCCTGACTTTTCCGTTCCCTGCCAAATCTTTCTCATTTCCTTTATCCCTTCCCTTTACCCTCCAAGTTGTCCAGCCCTGTGGTTTTGCCCCTACCCATCCTCACCTCTCTGCTCTCACCTCTTTCCTCACGGATTCCCATACATGTTTTATTAGTTACCCTTCAGATTCCATTTCTTAATAGACAGCCATTGATTCTGTTCATCTTCATCCACATTCTTCAGTCCCACACAGTAGGACTCCTTCCTCCTCCCTATTCAAGAAAACAAGAGAAATTTGCATTTTGTCTATTACAAAATCCTCCTAGATTTCCTGCCACTCTTTCACTACTATCCCTCCACTGACCTCATCTGTGCATACCATTGCTCCATAACAACATTAAGGAAGTGAGGAATTTTCTAGATAAGGATTAACTAGGAGGTCAACAGCACAGATGTTGGAGGAATTCAGACCAGATGATCCTGCTTTTCTCTGTGGAACAGTAGGCAAATTTATCTGTGTGTGAAAAGGTTGAGAGATAAAAACCTGAAGAAAATAGGAATGTTACTGACCAGGGAAAAGTCCTGGCACCATTGGCAAGTTGTTTCTTTCCATCAATGATGCACCCACTATATATAGTGTTTATGTAGATAAGGGAGAATGCTGATTCATCCCAAGTCAAGATTTGTTAGGGCTTGTGTAGTGGAAGAACAAGGACATGGCCAAGAAAATTGATGCTTAGTTAGCACATTGGTGAGTTCATGGCCTCTGAGGCCAAGGAAACAAAAAATTCAAGTCTTCTCTCACTCCCGTCACCTTTGGTGGAGCTATTGCTATTCTCAGCCACAGCTGCCAAGAAAATTCGTTTTTTAAAAATAATAATAATAAAAAATTCAAGTCTTGACAGCTGAAGAATAGAAGGATCAGAGATTGTAACCCTCAGAAGTTTAATTTTGAAGTCCTGGGAGGCTTACCATTCCCTCTCTGCGGACATGACTTACAAGGAGTAACCATTTGACACTGATTCAGTGGATTCTAGATTTACAGAGCATATACTCTGTATTTAGCAGTGTGGCAAGCACAAGGTCACAAAAATAGAACAAAGCAGTTTCTGCCTTCAGATAACTTATATTTTAGAAAAATTTATACAGAGACATTTGTGAATATGGAAAGGTCCCATCATCTACACAGAGACTATTGTAGGGGAATGGGTGCAGACAGTGGACTGTGTCAGAGGAATGCTTTGCGTGGGAGTTGGGGTAAACTTTTACCTCTGCTGCATTGCTTCCCAATTAAAGGGGAGCTCCTTGAACAAGTTACTTGTATAATAATCTTTATATACAAGGAACAAAGGGAATTTTTTTAGAATTAAATATGTACTCTATTTTTATGAATAGTCCTGAACAGGGCTCAGCAGTATCTGATCAGTAGCCACAGATCTAGCAGCAAAAGTAAATCTTGGGAGTACAAAATGTTTCCACTTCAGGTCTTCCTTCTACCCCCAGATTTTAAGTCCCTCCAGTGAATAGGTTATCACATTTTATAGGGTAGATGGTGAAATGCATTAATATAGTAAATACTAATAGGTGGTGATTAATAGCTCAGTTTATTAACTAGTTTAATAAAGTAAAACCATACAGTGAAAATAACAGTTCTTTATAAAAAGCTTTTCTTTTTAATGAAAAGAAGAGGTGCAGGCGATTTGTCTTCTTAACTTGTGACAGTCGGAAGAACAATGCATCCTTGTGAGCAAAGGTGACAGACAGGCTGTCCATGGTAAGCAACGCTAGCATGTCGAGGCCATGGGGTGCTTCTAAACATCACTGGTCACATCAGCTCCCCTTGGGTGTGCCTCTTCATCCTCGAGTATAGACTCACTGTATCATCCATCACAAAGTCATACAGCACCCTGACCCGGGAGTCATAGTGCGGCCGACTGTCATAGTATTCAGATGCGATTTTCCTCACCAGTGGAAGCTTTTTGCCAGGAATGTTGGGAAAGTCATGATGTTCATTATGATAACCCACACTGAAGGTAAGGAGAGTCAGAGGTCCGTAGTAAGTTTCATGTCCCTTTAAGAACATGTCATGCTTGGCTATAAAATGTCCAGAAATTGGGTGCAAACCCAGACCAAGGAAGGATGCTACCAACATATATACTAAAGATTTAACTCCCAGAAGGTGGTAAATAAAAATGTCAAAAGTGATCTAGACTACAACATTGATCATCTCCAGGGAAGAAATGGATTTTAGATTGATGAATAGAGGGTGAAAAGCATAAAAGAAAGGTTGAAGAACAACCCATACAAACTTCCTCAGAGTGGTACAGAAAAACCAGCCCTCAAAATCGGTGGAAATATCCATATCAACGCCGTTATTTCCAAGGTATCGATGGTGGTCCATGTGATACCTCTTAAAAGAAATGGAATGTGGAACACCAATAGGCAAGTTAGCAAACATTCCAAACCAGCGATTCCACATGGCTTTGTAGTGCCCAAAGGAACTGTTGTGGGAAATCTTGTGAATTGCCAAAGTCACTGAGTGATGAATGCAGCCACCAAAGGCATAAGCCCAAAACAGAAGTCATTTCCAGTTCAAGTCCTTCTTCACCAGGTACAGTGCCACCAACTGGGTGATGACCATCCCAGTCACAGTCCATATCAGGTTGGAGTCAGACTTCATCAAGGACTTTATCTCTGGGTACTTTGCCAGGTTCTTCTGGCGCCGGTCTGTCTGCTGCTGGTCGATGTAGACCCACTCGAAGTCTTCTCGCAAAACACGGCTCCCCATGGCGGTGGCCCTGCTCTAGCTCCCCTCCCGGGTGCGGCTGTCGGGGTCCTTGACTCCAGCACAGTGAGGGCAGCACTGGCCACGCCGGTGGGTGGAGCCGTCCGTGAGCGGAACAAAGGGAATTTGTATAGACTTATGAATGTTTCTTTGTCCCCAGGTGGAAGAAGCCGGGCAAGTGTTCCTGTTGATGAAAAAGGATTATCGAATCTCCCGAAATGTTCGCCTCGCTTGGTTCCTCAATCATCTGCATCAGACTGTGCAGGCCACGCCTCAGGAGTTGCTGGTGAGGCCTGGAGTCAGGCAGGCTATGAGAGAGGCAGGAGGGTCCTGGAAAGAGCCAGAGGAGTCTAACTGAGGGTTTTACGTCTGGGAGGTACAGTAACTTTGCCTAAAAAGTGATTCCATAATGGAAACGGATAATTTTTCCCAGTAATGAGGAGTGAATGTTTGATTGGCTTCGAGGAGATGGGGACAGTTACGTGTCATTTTGGGAGTAGAATTCAGGGCCTGGTAAGGAAGAAATGATTCTTCTTTGACTCCTTACTTTTTCTTTTCTTTTTTTACTCATTTCAGCTTCAGTCTGAGCAGGAATTGGAAATCCTCAGTGTCCTGCCTCCTGGCTGGCAACCAGATGAGCCAGTGGTCCCAAGGCCATTCCTCCTTGTTCCTTCTACCCGGGTCACCTTCCTCGCTTGGCAGTATCGCTTTGTCATTGAGCTGGACCTTAGCCCTTCTACGGGCATTGTGGTGAGGAGTTTGAGGGGACATACAAGGCGACAGGGCGGGGGCAGGGAGAGTACAGAAGAGAGAGGCACAGAGGGCAGGAGAAGTAAAAAGTGATCTCAGCTTGCCTCTGTGGGAAGGAGACAGGCATGTAAAGGAATGGTAAGTATTTAAAAACAGATCTTTTCCCATCTGAGGCACGGTGTTTAGTTGTGAGATCAGTTTAAGGATCCCACTGACCCTCGGAGCTACTTGTTTCTGCCTTCTGCCAAGGGCTGTCTGGTCACCATTGAGAAATCTTTTTCTTCATTGTTTTTCAGGATGATTCCACAGGGGAGATCTTGTTTGATGAAGTTTTTCACGCCCTCTCCCGCTGCCTAGGTGGGCTGCTTCGGCCCTTCAGAGTCCCTGGGTCTTGCATCGACTTCCAACCCGAAATCTATGTAACTATCCAGGCTTATTCTTCAATCATTGGCCTGCAGTCCCACCAGGTACTGTATTGTGTGTCCGGGTTTATTCCTTCAGACTAATTTTTGATAGACCACAAACCCTGGCACTACTATTCATGTCCAGAGTCTCCAGTTCTGTTGGCTCGAATCTTTGTCATTCCTCCTATAACTTCCCTTGGTTCTGGTGACTGAGTATCTGTTTTCTTTGTTCTTCCTTCCTCCTCTTCTTCTATCAGATATTTTACTGGTTTTATTCACAAGAGATGGCTTTTTTAAAATTTTATTATTTGTGTGTACCATCAAATCAGATCTGACTGATATAGGAGGAGATTGTCCCTCCTTCCCCGGCAGAGCATCTGGTGGACTCGAACCGTGCATCTCTGGGATTGCAGTGCAGCTTCTTGCCACTAGGCCACCAGAGCTCCCCCAAGAGATGGCTTTTTAAATAGCTTAATGTTTTGAAATATAACAAATACCAAGGAAAATAATTTCTATCAAGTACAAAAAGGTTCTTTTCACTGAAGGCCTTGTGGACTGTGGACGATATGGCAGCATAATTCTGACCACACAGATAATTAATTACAGGGCTTATCCAGCACTCAGGCAGGCTAGCAGAAAGCACTCCTTTTGGAGATTGGCCAACTCTGTAACTGGAATATCTGTTTTTGTCTTAGATAAACATTCCCCCAGTTTTACCTCATCTGCTCTTAACCACCCCTTAACTCATTGCTAGGGATTTGTCCTGGCCCTCCTCTGATGACTACATTATCAAACTGGCTTTCAGAGATAAGAGATATAAAAATACTATCTGATAATCTGAAACATACAACACAGTTGGAACATGCCTGCATCTCAGGACAGGAACTGCTAGCCCTTTGCCTAGTTTCAAGTGCCTTCCTTGTTGTTGCTTGTTGCTGTGTGCCTCTAGTCAGAACCAATCCATAGCTGACCCTCCAGTGTGTTTTCAGAGGCAGTTAATCACACAGGAGGAGATTGCCCACCCTTCTTTTGAGGAGCAGCTGGTGGATTTGAACAGTGTGCCTTTGGGATTGCTATAGTTAATTAAATAAAATGAAATTGTAGTTGATTTAATGGCATATAACAACAATAATATACGTTTATATACATACACAGTTGTTGTGTGCTGTTAAGTTAGAACCAACCCTTAAATGACCATTAAACAGTTTTTCAGAGACAGTAAATTGCACAAGAAGAGATTGCCCATTCTTTTCCCATGGAGCAGCTGGTGGATTTAAACCACATGCCTTTGAAATTGCAGTGCCATTCCTTACCACTATGCCACCAGAGTTACATGTGTATGATATTGTTGTTGTTGTTGTTGTTACGTGCCATCGAGTCATTTACGACTCGTAGCAACCCTATGTACAAGAGCCCTAAACGCCGTTCTATCCTGTGCCAACCTCGCTGTCTCAAACACATTCATTCCCACCACTCCACTCACAGAATTGATCCATCTTATCGAGGGTCTTCCTCTCCTGCGCCGTCCCTCCACTCTTCCAAACATGATGTCCCTCTCCAAGGACCAGTCCATCCTTGCAACATGCCCAAAGTATGTCAGACGAAGCGTATACACCACCCCAAATATAAATATGTAAATAATATGGAAATTTCCCCATGTTTGTAAATAATCTGAAAATGTTAATTGCTATTCAGTTGTGCTACTGCAAAACCTATACCTAGACCAAGAAGCTGTTGTGCAAACAGAGCAAGGGAATGCTGGTTTAAAATTAAAAAAGGCACGTGTCAAGGTTTTTGGTTTTTTTGTTGTTGTTGTTGTTTTTCATTAATAGTTGGTTTATTTAAACACGTATCAAGGTTTTATCCTTTCTCCATATCCATTCCATCTGTATGCTGGGCAAATTATTTAAGGAGCTGGACTCTGAAGAAGACTGTGACATCAAGATTGGAAGAAGGATCACCAAAAACCTTCGGTATGCACTTTACACACTCTTGCTTGCTGAAAGTGAAATCTTGAAACACTTGCTGCAGAAGATCAGCCTTCAAGAAGATAAAAATCTCACCACTACATTGATAGGCAACATCATGATAAATGGAGAACAGATTGAAACTGCCAATGACTTTCTCTTACTTGGATCCACAATCTAGCAGTCATTTGGTACCAGCAGTCAGGAGATCAGGAGACATATTGCTCTGAGAAAGTGCAGTCAGGGACCTCTTCATATTACTGAGGAACAATGATGTTAGCTTGAGAACTAAAGTGCACTTGTTCAAACCATGGTTTTCTCCAGTCACTGCTATGCTGCTGAAAGTTAGACATTGAATAAGGATGACAGAAGAAAAATTGATGCCTTTGAGCTATAGTGTTGGAGAAGAGTGTTGAATATTCCATGAACTGCCAAAAGAACAAACAGATACGTCTTGGAGAGGGTGCAGGCAGAGTGCTCCTTGGAGACCACAGTGGTGAAGCGTCATCTTACATACTTTGGGCATGTTGCTAGGAGAGGCTATTCCTTAGAGAAGGACATCATGTTGGGAAGGTGGGGAGGTGGGGAACGAAAGACAGGAAGACCCTGAACCAAGTAGATTGACACAGTGACTGCAGCAGTGGGCTTGAGAGTGTCAGAGATTGTGAGGATGGCACAGGATAGGACAAGGTTCAAATCTGTTGTTCATAGAGTCGCTATGAGTTGTACAATATTATCATATACTTATAAGCATAAAATGTTTAGTCAAACCCTTATTGTGGGGACCCTTGAGTTACCTTCATTTTTGCTACTTTTAAAAATGCAGAGAATATCTTTCTCATCTTTTTATAGTTCATAGTTCCTAATTCTTTTTGTCTTCTCACAATCAGACCCAGCCATTCTGAAAAGGGAATGTGGAATAGTTGGTCCACAGTGGGGCAGGAGTTGGGAACACATGAGACGGGCTATAGGAGTCTTAGGGGAAAGGAAGAGAGTTCCTGAGGGATATACAGGGGCTTCCAGGGTTGTATAGAAACTTAAAAAAGAAGGGAAGAATGAGCGAAGATACAAAGAGAGAAAAGATGGAGAGATTAGATTTAGGGGTGAAAGAATAGGAGGAGACAGCTGATAGGTTCCCCCTTTTTCCCTGCAAGAATCTGAAGGAACAAGAAGAAACAGCTTTTTAATCTTTGTTGTTGTTGTTGTTATGTGCCGTCGAGTCGTTTTCGACTCATAGCGACCCTATGCATAACAGCCCTAAACCCTGCTCTATCCTGTGCCAATCGCATGGCCTCCGACACACCCACCCCGATTACCCCAGTCACCGAATCAATCCATCTCATAGAGGGTCTTCCCCTCCTGCGCCGTCCCTCCACCCTCCCAAGCATGATGTGCCTCTCCAAGGACCCATCCCTCCTGGCAACATGTCCAAAGTATGTCAGACGAAGCCCCAGAATCCTTGCCTCCAAGGAGTAGCTTGGTTTAATCCTCTCCAAGATGAATCTTAGAGACCAGTTTTTAGTAAGTGAGGTGGAGAGCAGTACAGCCTCAGGTTTAGATGAAGAGGATAGTTTATGTTGATTGGTTTTCTTTGTAAAGAAGGAGGTAGGAGCTATCTGCTGAGGTAAAGGGAAGAAAAGAGCATTCAGAGAACAAAATTATAGACCTTAAAAAAGAGGAGGTTTAGACAACCTCTGTGCACAGAATACTTAAGAATCCAAGAGAATCCAATTTTTATAAAAATGTGAGTTAGCCTCTTTATCTCCTTTTCTGCTGACAGCTGCTGGGCGGTGGTTTCTCTCCTTTCCCTTTTCTTCCCAGGCATCCTTTCTCCTCATCTTTCATTTTCACTGTAACTCTTTTGTGTGGCCTACCTTTCACTAGTTATGCCTCTGTATTAATAAACATTAGTAAACCTTTTTAACTTATTTTGCTAAAAAAAAAAGTGAGTTAGAATAAAAAGACTCATGTCAGACAGTTTATAGACAACATGCAGCCCAAAGTGGAAGAGCCTGGGAGATCTTATGGTGCCCCCATGTGGAAGATTGTAGAAGCTCAGTATAAGGGCTCAAAGCCAAGGAAGGTTGTGACATTATTGGTTGCCTCCCCTCTCCCCCCCCCCCCAATAAGGGTCTGGACTGTGTATCTGGACTGGGCCTTGAAGGTTCAAGACCTGCAGTCTCTTAGTGGGCTTGAAGTCAGGATCACCTAGATGGAGCTACGGAGAAGAAGTGAACCAGAGGGATAATGCCCTGTCTCTCTCTGACTTTTCCCTTGTGCTTCTTAGGTGCTGGTACAGGGCTGTCTTTTGGACCCTTCCCAGCGAGAGGTGTTCTTGCAGCACGTGTATGAGATGCTCTGCCACTTTGAAGATAAGGTGGCCACCATGCTACAGCAGCAGTATGACCCTCAGAGCCGGGTATGTGGGTGAGAAAGTGGGCAGAGACCATTAGAAGGATGAACAGCTAAGGACAGAAGGCAGAGAAGAGGAGCCACCCAATTGGGAGAAGAGGGAGAAAAGAGTTAAGAGCCAAGGATAGCAAGATAGCGCACACACGCAGCAACTTCCTTACAGAGTAGGGCTCTGATGGATGCCCACAGACTCAGAAATTCTTGTGAGGAAAACACTTGAAAGACATTTTGCTTGTATTTTTCCAGTCCTAGTACTTCTTCCCTAGTGAATCTTCAAAAGTGGTCATTTTCATCTCTGGTTGCTATTTTGTTCAGTCAAGGATAAAACTGCTTGAGTTGTATATGATGACTGATAGGGAAATATAATTGATATATTAAAGTTTTCATAATTAATAAAAAATTCTGGTAAAAGGCTGTAGTTAGAAGAAGATAGAGAAGCCCTGCTTTAGCACAGCTTGGTGCTTGTGTGCTTCCCTTCTGAGGTTCAGTATCTGAGCATGCACTGGCAGTTGAGGCAGAACCAGAGTTTAGCTCCCTTGTAGAGGGATTAGCGGATTCCCCTTGAGATCCTCACAGGATTAGGGCTGTCTGAGCTGGGTAGGGCAGGGCTTCAAATTCTGACTCTACTTAGTTTGGGTGAACAGCACTATCTGTACTACTTTCTCTTTTCTGTAACTTGGGGCCAGACAGAGGACCAGTCTCCAGATTCTGTGGAGCCCACAGGCCGGAAGGTGGGCATCTCTATGGTGACAGCAGATGTTGGACTGGTCAGTATGATTCGTCAGGGCATCTTGGCACTGCAGTTGCTGCCTTCCAACTCGAGTGCAGGTCAGTGGAAAATAGGGCCTTTAAAAGCTTTGGTGGGTTTGGGGAGATGGGGGTATTTTGGAAGAGGGTTATCAATAGTAGTAGAAGGTTCCAGGATATTAGTGAACCCCAGAGAGGAAGATATGTTTTTAAATATAAATCTGTGTTAGTGTAAATCTCACATACCTCAAGTTTTGACAACTATCAGGGACTCTGCTAGGGATGGTGGTTAGGGAGGAGCTGTAATCTGTCCCTAAAAGGAAGAAACAAAAGAGAAGGAAACATCTTTGAGGTGTGTAAAATCCTTTGCTTAGAGGATACTGAGGCCTTTAGGGTCCTCCCACTGATCACTTTGCTATGACAGTAAGTTGTTCAGTATCTCTGGTACTAAGTCTTGATGTTTCCTGCTTCAGGTATCATTGTGATCACAGATGGCGTGACCAGTGTACCCGATGTTGCTGTCTGTGAAACACTTCTGAACCAGCTTCGCAGTGGCACTGTAGCTTGTTCTTTTGTACAGGTGAGGATTTTACAGGAAAATGGAGAAATGGTTCTCACAAAGTTGTATATGACTGATTACTTTCTTCTAAGTGATGATGTCCCAGGTAAAGACAGTAACATAAGTACATGGTCAGGAGGGGTCATGTCTCAAACTGGATGTGTTGAAATAGTGTTGGAATAGAACTCAGCATCTTAATTTTCTTTCCTTAGAATGTGCAAGGCACAAAAACGATGCAGAATTTGAAATAAAATCATTTCAGTCCTGCTTCTCTCATTATTGTTTTGGTTGTAAGTGTCAGAAATCTCAGCCTAAACTAGTCTAAGCAATGGAGTAAAGGTATACTCAGGAAACAGCAGCTAACTTAGCTGAAGGAACAATAGGACGGGACCATTAGAGGTATGGGACAAAAGGCTGAAGGGGTAGGATACACCAAAGCATGGGAAACTGGTTCTTCTTTACTGAGGAGTTTGAGCCTAAATCTCTGAGTAATGCAGATATATAGAAACAGTCACTGGTTTCATAAAGTGCACTGTTGCTGCTAGGTGCAGGGCAGAAGAGGAGGCTAGACTTCCCAATAGGCTATTTATTGTAGTAGTCTAGATGAGAAAGGATCAGAGTTTAAAGACTGTCAACAGATGAGGGGTTAGGCATCGCAGAAGCACAGAAGGCTTAAGACCTAAGCCATCATATCAAGGGCTGGATAGGAGAAGGGAGGTGTTGAATGGGATAGGTGGGGGTAGAAGGGGATACTTGTAGAGCAGGAAAGAAATGGGTCAGACACACATGCCAAGTGTGGGGCAACAACACTGAATCTATAGGTTACTTCTGTAGTTGGGAAATGTCCTTTATCTGCTCCTTTCTATATAATGCTTCCTTGTCAGATTTTGTTCTAAAACGGAGCATTCAAATTTAGACAGACTAGGAAGAAGGATTAGCCATTCACTTCTGAAATAACAGGCTTTTGAAAACCATGTGTACAAAGAGCACATTTTTAGTAGACTAGCAGATAAGGCAACTGAGACTGAGCCCTCAAATATGGAAGCACAAAGGAGAAGGAACAGTTGTAAGCAGACACTAGTGATTGGAATATGAAATTTGAGAAACATGAATGTAGGAAAAAATTGAACATTGTTAAGAAAGAAATGGAACACATAAATATTGAAATACTAGGTATTGACAAAAGGAGATGGACTGGCATGGGACATTTTAAATCAGATAATCATATGATCTACTATGCCAGAGATGGAAAGGTAAGGGGGAAATGTGGTTGCTTTCATAGTTAAGAAAAGTCATATCTAGATGCATATTGATACACAGTGTTGTGAGTGACAGGATAATATCCCCACGTGTACAAGGAAATCCAGTGAATACCACTATCATTCAAATATATGCACCAACAACCAGAGCCAAAGAGTAGGAAATAGAAGATTTCTACCAACTTCTGCAGTCAGAAATCCATCAAACGTGCAATCAAGATGCATTAATAATAATGGGTGACTGGAATGTAGAAGTTGGATATAGGGAAGAATAAATAGTTGGAAAACATGGACTTGGTGACAAGAAATGAGGCTGAAGATGGAATGATAGAATTTGGTACAATCAGTGATTTATTCATTATAAATACCTTTTATAAGAAGCATACGTGTAGACTATACACATGGATTTCACCTGATGGTGTGCACAGAAATCAGATAGATTACATCTATGGAAAGAATCGCTAGAAAAGCTCAGTATCAGCTTTGAAAACTAGGCCAGATGTTGATTATGGAACAGACCATCAACTACTCGTATGCAAGTTCAAAGTAAAGCTAAAGAAGGTTCAAATAAAATCAAATCCACAGGAATCAAAATTTGACCTTGAGTCTCTCCCACCTGGACTTCAAAAGCGTCTGAGGAACAGGTTTGAGCCTTGAACACTAATGAGTGAAGACCGAATGAGCTGTGGGAGGGTATCAAGAATATATCGTCCAGGAGGAATGCAAAAGGTCACATTTACAGAGACAGAGGAAAAAGAAAAGACCAAGATGAATGTCAGAAGAAACTCTGAATATTGCAGTAGAGTTCCAAAAAGCCAAAGCAAAGAGGGGAAATAAAAAAATTAAGGAGCTGAACAGAAGATTTCAAAGGGGAGCACATGAACACAAAGTAAATATTATAATGAAATGTGCAAAGAGCTAGAGTCAAAAAAATCAAAAGGGCCAAACTCATTCAGCATTTCTTAAGCTGAAGGAACTTAAGAACAAATTCAAGCCTCGAGTTGTAAACTTAAGGATGCTTTGGGCAGAATATTAAATGATCCAACAAACATTAAAATAAGATGGAAGGACTATACAGAGTCACTATACTGAAAAGAACTGGCTGACACATAAGAATTTCATGAAACAACATATGATTAAGAGCCTGTGGTAATGAAGGAGGAAGTTCAAGCTGCTCTAAATGAATTGGCAAAAAACAAGCCCCCCAAAATTGACAGCATACCAATTGGCATATTTAAACGATCAGAACTGTCCTATATGCACTCACCAACTTGTGCCAAGATATCCGCGCAACTGACTGGAAGAGACCCATATTTGTTTCCATTCCAAAAAGTGACTCAACGGTATGTGGACATTATTGAACAATATTATTGATACCACATGCAAGCAAGACTCTGCTGAAAATTACCCAGAAACAACTGGAACAGTACATCAGTAGAGAATTGCCAGAAGTGCAGGCTGGGTTTAGAAGAGGTCATGGCTCGAGGGATATAATAGCCAATGTTAAATGGATCTTGGCTGAAAGCAGAGTACCAGAAAAATGTCTTGTGTTTCATTGACTATGCAAAAGCATTTGACTGTGTGGATCATAACAGACTGTGGCTAACTCTGAGAAAAATGGGAATATCAGAACACTTGATTGTGCTTATACAAAACCTGTACTTGGACCAGGAAGCAGTCATCAGAACAGAGCAAGGAAACACTGCATGGTTCAAAATCAGGAAAGGTGTATGCCAGGGATGCATCCTATCTCCATATCTTTTCAATCTTTATGTGTAACAGATCACCCAGGAGGCTGGGCTCTATGAGGAGGGATGTGGCCTAAGGATTGGGGGGTGGGGGTGGGGATTAATCCACAACCTTGCTTACTGAAATGGAGGAAGACCTGAGGCATTTGCTGCAGAAGGTCAAGGACTGCAGACTTCAATATGGATTGAAACTCAATGTCAAGAAAACAAAGATTCTCACCACTGGGCCAATTGGCAGCATAGTGATAGACGGACGGTGAAGAGATTAAGATTATTAGCAGCTTCAGCTTGCTTGGCTCCACAATCAACACTCTTGATATCAGCACCCAAGAAATTTAAAAACCAGTTGCTTTGGGAAAATCTGCTGTCAGGGACTTCAGAGTACTGAAGAGCAGCAATGTCAGTGTAGAGACCAAGGTGCACCTGATTGAGGCCATAGTCTTCACAATTACTTGCTCTGCATCAGAAATCTGGACAGTAACTAAGGATGATAGAATAAGAATTGATGCCTTTGAGCTATGGTCCTGGATAAAAGTACTGAATATACCATTACCTGCCAAGAGAACAAACAGCTTCATCCTGGAGAGGAAACCAGACTGCTCCTTGGAGGTAAGGATTTTGAAAGTCCTTCTGACATATTTTGGGCATGTTGCAAGGAGAGGCCAGTCCCTGGAAAGGGGCATCATGCTTGGAAGGGTAGAGGGACAGCATAAGAGAGGAAGACCCTGGATGAGATGGATTAACTCAGTGACTGGGGATATCGTGGTAGGTGTGTCAAAAATAGATTGGCACACGATAGAGCAGGGTTCAGAGCTGTTTTATATAGGGTCACTATGAGTCACAAGCAACTCAACAGCACATAACAACAATAACATGGGAGGATTAAATGTTCATATTGATTCTACTTATAAAGAGAGTAAAAAAAAAATTGGTTAAAATGGTTAACCACATGGTTATGTTTGTGTCAAATAAAATAGCACAGATGGTTAAATACTTGACTAGTAACGGAAAAGATTGTTGTTTCAAACCATTTGGTGATTCCTTGAAGACAAACCTGGTGATTTGCTTTTGAAAGGTCACAGCCTTGAATATCATCTGACACATTTCTGCTCTGCACACATGGGTTTCTATGATTTGGAATTCAACTTGATGACAGTTAGTTGGAATCAGTTAACTGCAACAAACAACAAGATACAGAGGGTAAGGGAGGAGGAGAAGTTAAGGATGCTTCCAGCTATTTAACTTGAATGATTACTGGATATCAGTCGGAGCAAACAGAAAGAAGCAATTGAGATGGAGAAAAGTGATGAATTCAGGTTTGTGAGTGTTGTTTGGATCAACATAGCATAACTGTTAAGAATATTACCTTTGGAGTTAGATGTGACTGGTCTGAATCCTAACTCCGCTTATTTTTTAGGTGAAATGTACCTAAAATGTACCTTTCAGATTGGATTCATTTGCAAATGGAGATTATCACTGAGTAAGATAATACATTTAAAGCAGTGAGGGTAGTATATAATTACTTAGTAAAATGGCTGTAGCTCATAACATTTAGCGGTTGAATATATGAATCTTATACTCTGGAGAAAGCATTAAATTAGAGAGAAATAGAGATTCAGGAGAAGAAAGTCCCAGAAAAGTCCTGGGGAACACTTTTTTTTTTTTCTTTAAAGGGAAGAGACTCCAGCAAAGAATGAAGGGAATCAGACAAGAACCAGCAAATCCTACTGTCAGGAAGAGTCAGTATTTAAAGGAGTAACTAGTGTAATATGCAACAGAAAATCAAGCAAATGAGGAATAATAAGTACCCTATGGGTTTGGTGATTAGATCATGAGGCTTTTTTTAGAGCTTTTGAACAGGTGATTATTTTGAAAATAATTATAGTGGACAGAAGAGAAAGGAGCAGAGACAAATGTTGACATAAGACGCTTAACTGTTTAAATCAAGTGTAGAATGAGATAAAGAATGATAGTTAGCATAAGTCCAGGGTTGGAGAAAAGATATTTGGGGGTT